CTTTCATTTTACTATTAAGTCAATCTAAATTGAAAACTCCTTTTCAACTTATGAGTACACCTTGATCAAAGATTTCTTTGTTAACTTAACTAAATGAAATTTAGATAATAATCTCTAACTATTTAAGAGTGAAGAATCATTTATTGATCATTCACAATCTTCATGTGATTTTTGACATACCCAAAGAATGTCGTATTATCGATCATTGACAGAGCAATATCTAACGTCACCAAAGTATGACTGTCCTCATATAAGGCACTATGATGACATCAAGTCAAATGATCAATTCTACTACTGAACGTTAGAGATTAAATACTAATACTCAAATAGTCATCCATGTGGATTATTCCAAGCGGATCTCTAACGTTTTGTTCTACAACAAAACATTCAAACGTTAATTTAAGTGTCACTACAGTTTAACATGTGAGGTCAACTACTTACTTTACAAGTATGAAGGTCATACTTGATGGTCTATCCGTAATAACAATATTCGCATCTCGTTGTTACTTTGACTATGAATAATTTAAGATTCACTTATATGTGATTTGAATCTTAAAATCACAACTCCTTATAATTAATAAATTATAGAGATTTTAAATCTACGGACTCTATTATTTAATTTGATTGAATATTAATTAAATAATATATCTGTCATAAAATTGCATCAATTATATATTAAAAGTGTTTACGTCCAAAAGTTGATTGGACCTAGAAATAACACTTACAAAGTATACATGCACGTACAAGTGGTGTGTCAAGACGAGTGTAGGCCATGTTAAACGGATGGTGAATAAGTCTCCTTAAATTTGTCCCGACCCACAAAAAAGATGTGTGATTGGGGCCTAAAACCCCGGGGGAGGTTGCAAGAAGGTTAGTGATTAGCAATGGAAGTCATGAGAAGGGAACAATTAAGGATGGTAAAGATGCATTTTACATGGTCGAAGATGGACATTATCTAGGTATCAACTTTTACGATATGCATCAATTAAGAAACATTTTTTATTGAACATGTTATACTTTCGAGAGAGAGAGGGTAAAAAAAAAATGAGGAGAGGAGAGGAACTTGAGCAGCCTTAAATGGATTGACGCCTAACCCATTGTTAGTTGTCCAAATACCAAAAGCCCACTAAATAACGAGTAGACAATCTTCAGCCCACTTGCCAATGTGGTTGTAATTTATGGGACATTAGGGCTTCAACTTATCACCTAAGTTCAAGCCCACCCGCATTTTTGGGCTATTAAAGCCACACGTCTGCAGCGTATATTTGGGAGGATTACCAAATTTTCATAAATTGGAAAACAATTGCTAGCTCAGATTTTTAAAGGTTGAACCCCAACCTTGAGGGCCCCTACCGTCCCGTCCATAGAACTTTGTGAGGGAGGTAAATTGCGAGATGTGCCCTAACAGGCTAGGGAACAAGAGCTGTCCGTACACTGCGCCTACAAGGAGTCCAATTCCATGTCTCAGTAATCGAACCCCCACACTGCGACTGCCAGCAAGACGTGTGATAACCTCACTCCTGTCATTTGTACCACTAGCTCATATTCTTGAATTGCCCTCTTCATGCTTAAGTTTTCACTGTAACACTTAACTCTTGTTTGGTGTAGTTTTATTTATTTATTTATTTTTCCAGATTTTAAATTGGACAAGCTTTAATTTTAATTATATATTTTATTAGATCCACAATTTTTATCAACTTTTAATCACATATTTTACGTGCTCAAAAAACTTTGGCAAACAATGGGTTATGCTGAAAATGATACAAAACTCTGATCAAAATGTTTATGGTAACAAACAAGGAGAATCTAAATTCTTGCTTAAGTATTATTATGTTGATCTAATACTGGAAATATACTTTAAGAATAACAAAAGAAGAAGAAATAGAGATGCACAATGAAACACGAAAGTATGCAATTCAAGATTAACAGTTTTAAATTTAATAATTATCTGACAGAATAGAAAAGTTAGAGTTCAATACAACTAAATCCTTTGCATATAATATATATCAAAACATGTCATATTAATTTTTATCTACTCATTCCTCTTGCGTATACAAGAATCAATGCATAAGTACACTACGAGATCCTGCAATTCATTTCTTCATATTAAACAAATTTACTCTCATGGGGTTTTAATTTTTGCTAATTTTGCACGATTAAAGGCAGATGTTTGATATATTAAAAATATTGCAAAATGTGACAAAATGCTATCTAAAATACCATCAATATAGCAGTATTGTATAATCTTGATTATCCACACAAATCAAAGTATCTTCATTATTTAGCATTTTCTTAATTAGCTTGCTTGCCCTGAATCCGACATAAATATAAACAACATGTGTGTACACAAATAGAGAGAAGAGTGATGGAATTTGATATGCTTGGCTCCTTGTACGCCACCTGTTACAACCAATCTCACAGCCAGATTGGTGTCGTCATGTGGCATACAGGGAGCCAGGCACATCGTAACGCACCTTTTTTTCATCCTCCAAATTGACTCTATGAACTCGAACTACACCAAACCTCAGAATTTTTGCCTGTTAGAGAAAGATTAAGAGATTCTGTGTGTGTGTGTGATTACAAGGTGTTGTGAATGTGTCTATATATATAAATATATATTTGTGTGTGATTATGATCTTACTTTGTATAAAGAATAAACTTTAAAACTTTTCCTAATTAGACTAAGAAATTTCAAAATAAAATGTGATCCACCATCCAAATCTCTGTCAATCCAATCTTTTTCTCATCTCCTTCTCTCTTTATATCACAATGCCGACCATGATCCCACCAAATCTGAATTTAGACAAAGGTGTAAAAGTTGCATGAAATCTTTTTTGTCGACTATTCCAATAGCAAAACAATTAAGTGGAACCCTTTTATTATAATTAACAAAAAAGGGGTTCAAAGTCTTAAAACCTCGATTGGTCACTGATCTTTATACAATGCTACAAAATTTTCCAAATTGAATTTTGGACAGTTCTTGAACTTAATGTAGTGCTCGACCAAAGAGGTTTCCAACCAGTTAACTTACAATTGAAATTTCAGAGACATCTCGCGAGGATTGTATAAAGTTCATGAACCAACCAAAAATTTTTGTACGAATCATTCTCTAGCTAGGCCCGGATTGTGTCGTTCACAGAATTTTCCAAGAAGGCAGCTTTGAATGCTTTACAAATTGCTTACTTTATTGCCTTTTTCTTTCACTATCTAGATAGTGAGTATTACTTTTCAAATTCTGGAGAGAAGTTTGTCGGCGTGACTGCATGCGTGAATTACATAAATTAATGAATAATGTCAATAATTTAGTTATATTTGTCTGTATTGCGTTTTAAGAATCGATATTTTATGAGGCCGTTAGTACGCAAATTCACTCAGCTATCTATCTTATTTAGTTGTTGATCGCTGTCCGTGTCAAGATTTTCGGGGCAAGAACTCATCCTACTTTAAAGTACAATTTACATACACTTAGTTTTAGACGGTCTCCCTATTTTCCTAGCAAAACCCTAAAAAGAATTCTACAAATTATTTAAATATACATAAAGTGAATGTTTCAGTTCAAAGTGTAGGAAAAGTATTAAAGAAAGGTGGGCTAGGAGTTTAGGTTAGGTCAAATATTACTAATTTTCACATTTTAAAGCATAAAATTGACAGTCGTACACGAAATCTATCATGGATGGGTCCATTTGACAGATTTCGGTGGCCGGCCGATCAATCATCTATCTGTTTTTACCGAACTTTTCTTGATTTTCATATTGAAAATGTTAAAAACGATTTCACGGCCCATGGCCCATTAATGGTCTCCAGAGTGAGGCATGAACATATGGGATATTTGGGCTCATCAGAGCTCAAGATCCATTAGATCTTGACCCTTGATTCTGATGCAATATTGTTACTCATTTTTGTTCGTCATCTTGTAATTTAGTATATGTTAAGCCTCTTTAGAGTTTGGAAACCGAGCCCAGTGGTCTTGTCAAATCATCTTTGTGACAAGCGGTCAAGGGTCGGGGTGGAGGCTTCACCACTGTTATTTTCTTTTCTTTTTATAACTCTTCGGAGGAAATAGAGTAAATAGATAAAAATTACTTTTAAACAAGTCATTACGAACACACACGTGACTATTAAAACAAAATTATGCGATTTTCATCCCAAGAGAATCACTTGCACCAAAATTGAAAGTTTGGAACCTAAAATCTTAAAAAATTGATTGAGAAAACCTCCCATTTGTATTTTGTATCAATAGAAATCATCTTTTTGCTCAAAGGATTAGGTCAATCCCTCATCCGAAGATGATCCTCTCCCTACTCTTTCTTACCCGAGTTCAAGCTATAGATTAGTTTATGCATATTCTCCAGATATCATTGTTACTTCTCCATTTTGAATAATCAAATCAAGCAAAAATTATTATTTTCTTACATGCATATTCATTAAGTTAAATAGATCTCCACTTGAGTCTCCAAAGATAAAGATACGGGAATTTATATTTGATAAAACTTAAATTATAATTTAAATTAATCAAATATATTTTTTATTCATACATTTTATATTCTATAATTACTACTTATTAACCGCCGATTATATAGGACAAATAATTTATAAATAACTAATATAGGACAAATAATTTATAAATACGTGCATGGCTCGGCACATAGCATGGCTCACAGATCCCTCACATCATGGGCTCTCGTCAATAAAAAAAATGGCGCGATCCCCACCTCAGTGAGGGGGCTGTAAGCAGGACTGTAAAACAAGAAAAATCTAATGTCATTGCCCATTTTTATTTCAAACGATGCTCCTTGAACAGGTCAATGATAATTATGGAGGTGATAGGAGGGTAACAATGATGGAGGTGATAGGATGATGTGACAGACGAAGTGATTAAATATTATATTTTTTTTTTTTTAAATTGTTCAATCTGACGCGTGTCCCGTCTGCTATTCACCTTTTCATTGAGTCTGTCACGTGTAAGGCACAGGTCCCAATAGATTATGCAAAGACAACCGCCATCTGGCAAAAGGATCTGACTGATTGAGCAGATATTTCTGTATTCTTCATTGTTCCCCGAATAATACCACTGCTAAATTCACCCAAATTATCTGCATTCAATTACACAAGCGTAGTCGTTCAATTTCTTTCTCAGTGAAATAATTCATGGGATCTGCCAAAAATTCATCGGATTCTGAAACTAGAGAACAGCGTATTCCCGAAGAAGCTGTAAAAATACTGAAATCTTTGGCACAAAAATGGGACGATATTACCGATGCAAATGCGTTGCAGGTTGTTCCATTGAAAGGAGCCATGACTAACGAGGTTTATCAAATCAAATGGCCTACGAATTCTGACAATGAATCGCACCACCGTTCGAGGAAAGTGGTGGTGAGGATTTACGGTAAAGGGGTGGATGTATTCTTCGACAGAGAAAACGAGATTCGTACATTTGAGTTCATGTCGAAACAAGGACAGGGGCCCCGTTTGCTGGGGCGGTTTTCTAGTGGCCGTATCGAAGAATTCATTCGTGCTCGGGTATGTACTTTCATGGTGCTCTTTATGTTATACATTTTACAGTACTTGCTTGTGAAAATTCCCAGGTGATCGCCCATATCACGTTTCCTGAAAAATGAAAAAGGAAGGTAGAAGGATTTAAATTAAAGCTTAAAAACAGCATAAATTAGTGTTTGAGCCTCATTTTTTATGCATTGTTGTAACAGTAATTTTTTGGAGAGCCTGCGGTTTAAAAGTAGGGAAAGTTTTTAGATTTACTTGTAAAATTGTTATATTGGAAAAATATATAGTTAAGATGAGTTTAGGAAAAAATGAATTTTTTAGAAATGGAGCTCAAACAAGGGTTAAGTTTTGATTCTGTTGAATAAGCTTTTAGACATGGCACACATTAATTTATCTCATTTAATAAAATACACTTTTGTCAAGTTTAGGCCTGATTCATTTTCTCGTTGCGCATGCATAAATCATTGGCCAAACTTGAAATCAGGATCTTCGCATGATTTTACCACAAACGGGGGCTTATTTATTTAAACTTAGTCTACAAAATATTCATACTCTAATGTACATTGTGATTCTATGTTGTTTAGTAAAACTTTCTTAATACTACAAGTGCGATAAGTGTGACATGGTAATTATTTCCAATCAGGGCTGTAACAAAGATTCAATCTTTACTGAAACACTTTATATGGAATTTCTTGATATTATCTGAAACTATGAAAAACTGGATGGCCTGTATTGTAATGCTGTGCATTCTGTTGCACCATTCCAGACACTTTCAGCAGCTGACTTGCGTGATTCAGAGATATCTGGCCTTATAGCAACCAAAATGAAGGAATTCCATGATCTTCAAATGCCTGGCCCCAAGTCTGTGTGCCTGTGGGATAGATTGCGGTATGCTTGTTTGTCTTGGGATCTTCCCAGGTTGTTATGCAGTCTTAGTTGATTAGCTAAGGCCTCTTTTCTTTATGTATCAGCAATTGGGTTAAGGAGGCTAAACGTTTGTCTACACCAGAGGAAGCCAAAGCTTTCCACCTGGATTTCATGGAAGATGAAATATTAGCACTTGAAAGTAATCTATCATGTGGTCATCAACGCATAGGATTCTGCCACAATGATTTGCAATATGGTAACATAATGATGGACGAAGACACCAGATCAATAACAATAATTGTCAGTATCATCCCTTGCTGATTAACGAAATTTGTGAAATCTAAGGACTAAAGCACTATATTGTTAGTTATTTGGTGGAATATTATTATGTTTGACATGTAAGTGTATGTTCCGTGTGCAAGAGGACAGGATGTGCTCCACGTTAGTTAAAAAAAGAAATAAAGTTCTAATGAATCCAAAAGCAGAGCACTCAAATCTTGCTATTCCTCAATGTAATGTCAAGACACCACATGCTAACAAGTGTGTGAAAATAAGCTTATTGTGAAAATTATAGCCCGTGGTTTAGGCTATATAACTATACAAGGGTGGGTTATACTCTTATAAAGCACATCAGTCCAGTTCACACTCATTTAGGTAGAGATATGATTCCACATGGTTGAGTGACTCATGAAGAAGAGATGGGGTGGCAGGTGCCATGATCGAGTTTGGTTTACTGAAGGCAAATGCATATATATTGATCAAGTAAAATGGGTACCAGGTTGCTGTTATTTTATTAACTTGATGGTTTTTGGATTTATGGAGTAAGTTCCACAGCATCTCTCTCTCAGACTCGTGCCTTTTTAAGCAATCGCATTCAGTGAGGTTTTTTCTGGTTTCTATATTGTTTTCCACCATCCTGAACATTCTGACCCTGTACACTGCACACGTGGACCTTCAATGGATCCATGGGTCACTTGGCTTGGCTTTAAAATTCACTAGTTCGTCGAGGTTTAATGAATTTTGATATAATTCTTGTGTCTGATTTATTTAAACAATTGGTTGTGTATTCTGTTTACATGCAATTTGATTTGGCTATTGCACTTGTCATTCTAATATTCTCGACCACACCTGTTTTAGGACTATGAATATGCAAGTTACAATCCTGTTGCTTTTGATATAGCAAATCATTTCTGTGAGATGGCTGCTGACTATCATACAGAAACCCCTCATATTCTGGACTATAGTAAATATCCAGGTAGACAGCCTGTTGATTTGTTCAGCACTTTCTATGCCTCATTCACGGCAATTGACCCATCATGTAGTTACTGGAAATTTATATTAAATGATAACTTGACTTAACAGGTTTTGCGGAGCGTCAAAGATTTCTGCGTATATATCTGAGTTGTTCAGGTAGAAATGAATTCAATTTATCATACCATTTTTTCCATGTAAGCTAGTACACTGTTTTCTTCTGATGAGAAAACATAAATTCTCATTATGAAGCGTATTTAAACCTACAATGTGATAAATCATTTTAGGACAGTCTACTCATATAGTGTCAGCATGTTTTCTTCTTCGTCGGTAAACATCTCAGTAAACAGGACTATTCATGAAAGTATATCATGTATTGTGTTTGTTGTAGAGTTAGTGATGAGTGTTAAATGCATGAAAACTAGTACAACATTTGTTTTTTATTAGTCTTATAAAAGGGGAAATGAACTTTGACCACTTTTGATTTAAGCCTGTATCTTCCTACCTATTAGCAATGCATCTTGATTGACCATAATGGAGTAAATAAGTGCCAAATTTTTGTTTGAAGATAAAGGATAAACTGTCTCGTTTATCATTACCTCAGAAACATTGGGATGTTCATGCAGGCACTCAACCTAGTGACTCGGAAGTGGATCAGTTGGTTCATGAAGTGGAGAAGTATACTCTTGCAAGCCATCTCTTTTGGGGCTTATGGGGAATAATTTCGGTAATTTACATGACTTGTAGAGAAAAAAATGCTAGTTAAGTATTCCCAATTGACCAACTGTAATAAGAATTAGTGAAGTGGAGTTGTGATATAATCATCTCATGTGATACATAATCAGATATTTTCTGATTTGTAAACTCAGTTATGCCCCTGTTTGATGGCCATTAATTGAAAACTTCTTGTTAGCATACTCATTTTTAACTACACATTCATACAATAAAATATTTTGGAGAGAGACCCAAAATTTTTTCCTACATTTGAACCACTCGTTCTAAAAATCACCATTCGAAGCATTGTTTTTCCCAAATAATGGCCATCAAACAAGGGCTATATATGTAGTCCTTTCCAGGTTTGGCTGGATTGGAATGTTACTTGTTTTGACTGGCATATGGCTAATGCAAAAAGAGAGAACCAAGGTTAAATTGTCATCTAGACCATGATAATTGAAGTTGTTACCTGTAGAAATGGACCATCAGGTGCCACATAATGTGCATATTGATCTGTGGATGTGCTTCTAAGGGAATACTAAGTGTGTCATCTTACATTGAACAACCACATATGATACTGGATTAAGTTTATTTCTTAACTCAGGCTTGGAGCCACAGAGAGAGTCTCTTACTCAGAAAAGAAATCAATTGAGTAGGATGTAACCACATTCGGTTCTGTTGACAGTGAGATTTTTCCTTAAAATGAGGTGGGTGTCTATCCTTGGATTGGCAAGTTTTCATGAAAAACAAGAAATCTCAGTGGGAATTGTAATAGATAAGGGGAGATATCATGTCTACGAGAACTTTGCCACCAAGAGTGTTGGTGATGGTCAATATTGTTTTTAACATTTTTGCCCACAAAATGTGTGCAATGTGCAAGAGAAAAGATAGACGGTTCAAACCTAAATTGTTCTTTGAGCAGGAATATAAATGTGAGGCGTACAAACACATCACATAATTCATTCAAAGTACTAAAGGAAAAGGCCTTTAAGTTGAGATATAGTCAACGGCCAAGTAGCCTCTTTGATATCAAATTTATGAGAAACATTTTAGCTAACATATTCTTTTGTTTCAGGGGCACGTCAATAAAATTGATTTTGAGTACATGGAGTATGCAGGACAAAGGTTTCAACAGTACTGGTTAAGGAGACCTGAATTATTGAATTCTTCAAGTCCTACCACAAACATTATAGCTGATGGTAATACTACTTTCTATTTTTTTCGACTTGTTTTATCTTTTGTTGTGTGTGTTTATGTACATATTATTAGGGATGGCAATTTGAACAGTCAAATCTGAAAATCGCGGTTAACCGAACCGAACACGGCAAAAAATAACCGAACCGATGGTGCAATGGGGTGGATATGGTATTTGATTTTAATGACCCAGTTTGAGGCCGTGCGGATATGGTATTTACTCCGTCATCCCGAATAGGATTGATTACTCGTTAAATTTATTTTTTTCCATCTAAATAGTAATCCAATGCAAAACATGTATAAAAAAAAATCTAATTTTGCAAACTCCAAGGGACCTTTTTTCTTCCTTTAGAGTCACATATGATGGTTATCAACTCACTCGCTCTTGAAGCGAATTCAATCAACAATTTCAGTTTCAAAAAACGTATTCTATTACGGTAAATTTAATCATTTGATTAGTTTTAGGCGTCTTGATTGACTTAAATTGTTTGAAGTGCTCCAATATAATTCACTCGACTATGAGTTGATAATCATCATATGTGGCTTTTTTTATAAATTGTTTTTTTTCAATTTAATGGCTGGATCTATGAAAAATAATTTATTTTCTTGGTTATTAATCGCCCCGAACCGAAATACGAATTGAATCGAACCGAATCGACTTACTTGGTTATGGTACGGTTATGTTATGGTAAAAAAATTGGTGGTTCGATGATGGTTTTGGCCGAACCGACCCCGAACCGAACCGTACCATTGCCAACCCTACATATCATCTGCTATTTTGCAATTCAATGGATATTTTCAAATATTCCGAGTTGTCGATTTTCTCAATTTGTCTTTTTTAAGAAGCGTTGTCATTATATGATTCTGATGATTATCATATTGGAAAATAGAGCGACTTCCGTCCTTGCTAATATGTACTCCTGAAGCACCAAGGACTACTATTTGCCAATTAAAACAAGAATCGTAAATATTATAATGATCATACAAAATCAATGTATTTTCCCAAATTCCATGTGATTTTTCGGAAGGACGCAGCAATCTAGGCCATGTTTGCATTATTTTAGTTGTATTTATGTATCTCACGGTTTATTTTTATTTAAAGGCTTTATGAATATGCAAATATACTTACAAAACTTTTTCCATTCAAGTCAGCCAACCGAACTATAAGACTTCAAATAGCATTTTTGTAAACAAAGCTGGCATATTCTTATCATTCCGATTACATGCTTGTGTACGTGCCACTTCTGTTAAAAGTTTACTTTTGACATTGCAGGCAAGCGAGAGAGTACTGGACACTGTTAAACCATACGTGGAATATAATGGATGTTTGGGAAGAATTAAATAGGTCGACAGAAAGGTAGCCTGAAGAAGACAACTTAACCATATGTAGTATCATAAGATGCTCTTGCCGTAGTAGCATTTTGAACTTGTGTTCTTTAAAGATGGGTTGCCTTCTTCATTTTTTTTTTTCCAATGTAAAGCAACTGAAGTGCTCTTGCATTAGCTTGAAATAATACTGGGATCCTTGAGATCGGAGGCGTACTTCCTCTCCTGGATTATGTGGTGGTGGCCTGGGTTGGAACTTGCAGTAAATGATTTTAGTTTCTTTTTCTTACCATAGCAATTCACATTACCAAATGTGGTATTTATATATGCGTTTATTGTTTACCATAAATTATATGGAATCAACATTAAACTATATATTTTTGCTAGTTGGTGTGATAGATTTGAAATTATTTTCCCCACAATCTAAATTTTCCGTGACTCCCTCAGTTCAATCTGTGAAACAATCTATTCTGGAAAAAGGCGATGGCCATGGAAGGATGCCACATTTCTCCTACCGTTTGTAAGCTATTTGGATATTTCTTAATAGGGTCTAGTACGGTAAGCAGACCATTAAATCACAAGCAGTATATTAAATTGAATAGATAGAATAACATACGAGTCTTTCTTTTTCAATCTTATTCGATACACAAGAAATGATATGCTGTAAAAACGGAGTACAATAAAGATCACAAACAAATCTATAGCTTTTTGGATCATGGAACAATTGAAGACTTAACAAGTTTATGATTGCGAAGCTTGACAATGGAGATAATATTGATAATTATCATTAGTCCGAGGCCAATGAAAGAAGCCAACATGGCACCACTTCCACGGTCGCAAAAGCTACCAAATTTGTCACAAATTTTATTCCACCTTGCATGAGAATTCCCATCCCTACCAAGCTGACCCATAAAAGCCGCCGCACTCGCACCACCGGAGACGAAAGCAACGTTAATCTACATTTACAAGGAGATCAACGACGTCTTTAAATGTAAGTACAGACTTATCGTGGAAAAATTAATTTATTTTTCTTGGAAACCTGAAAACAAAATTAATTAATTGTTTACCATGTCCAAGACTGCAATTGCAAAAGGGCGAAGTCCCTTGTAATCAAACTTGTGTCCCATGAAATTGACAATTAATATCAATAAATTATGGAGACTAGCATTGCCATTAGCTATCACGAAGAACCTGTACACGTGGAGTGAATATATGTGATTTCGATCCAATTCAGCGTATCAAATATAACATTTATCTAAAATATGTCCTTTAAGTGTAGGAAAAAGAAATCAGAAACATACACAAAAGCTGGAGTGTGTTGAAATTTGGCCGTGAGAGTAACTTGTATTGGAGTAGTTCCAATAGTGGCAACAAAAGTTTTCTTTTGTCTATTAAGCGCCATTACAAGTGTCGCCGCAAGCGTCGCAAAAAATGCAAGCAATCTCAGTGTGGGAATAATCCAATCATTTAACCTGGTAGTCACTGCCAGCTGCTCCACAGCAGCAACTTCTGGTTTCTCTCCATCTTCTGAAGCCATTTTGATTCCCGGGGTAAGGTCGAGGTGGTGTTCGAGGAGAATTAAGTGGAAGAAGATACAGAAAGATCCAAATATGGCTGAATATTTATAAGAGCGATCAAAGAATCATGTGCAGAGTTTCTTTTCCAGTAAGTATGACAAGTTTCTCTAATTTGTTGCAGTTAGTCCAACTCTCACCCAGTTTGATAATCAGTTGGGAAAAAGAACAGAGGTGGATATACATTTAGATGACAGCGGATTGGAAAAACAAGACCTTGATATTGCGTGCCATTTCAAACAACCTCAAAATAATAAAAATTTTGTCAACTCATCTTATATAAACAACTCAGGATTAATTTGTTGGTAAGAAACTAAAATTATTTCTCATTTGAAGATCTTTTGATTCTCAACAGGATTGTGGCATAAAAGGGAGGGCAAACTATTTCAAAAACTCAAAAGCAAGTGAAACGTAGTTATCAAGAAACACTTGTACGCATGTCCATTAAAGACTTGATACAAACACGACTGGATACTAACAAATTTCAGAAAACATTTAGATGTCTATGTGATTTAGGACCAATTTGACATGACTTTTACTTTTATTTCTACTTTTTCGTAGAAGAGCTTTTGGATGAAATTAATTATTTTTTGTTTGAAAACTAAATTTTAAAATAGCTCCTTATACCAGAAGTACTTTTGAAAAAAGTCACATTAGACCTACTACCTCTAAAACTCTTCTAACTAATAGAAGAACTTTCATAAAATTAGTCAAACAGTCCAAAAGTTGCTTTTCAATCTCAAAAACTCCTTTTGATTTTTCAAAAACCTTATCAAACAAGCCTTTAATTAATTCAATCTTATCCATTAAACCATAAAATACCTACATGTAATGAATTAGAAAAGAACTAAACATATCTATGGAACTTCCCAAACTCTGTTGGCATTAGTTTGGCACGCACCACAACTTTTGAAGTGTTGCATCTAAAATTTTGACATCTTAAATTGAAGTCAAGTGTCAAAATTTTATTGGAGAAAACCAAACAGATAATAAAAATAAGACAGTTGATTTGGACTCATGAACTTATGTATGTAATTGCATGATATTGTAATCCGACAAAATCTAAATTAAAATTAGCTTAATGTAAGGTGGGAAGCACAATTATAAAAGGCAAATTATATCACACAATAAGTTTTTAAGTCTTCATACAACTTCGTGACATGAACACATTCACCCCACTAATTTACAATGTATTAATATCAAAACAATTATTAAGTAGCACACTAGTAAATGACTGAAAAATCACTTCCCACTAGCTGTCCTCTTCATTAACTACCAAAAGAAAAATCGAGTTTCTTACAAAACTTACAACTTGCAGTATTGTATTTCCAAACTCATAATGGCCAATCCCAACCTGCATAAAATGACTCTATATCAAGTTGAAATCAAACAAGTCCGAAACGACCATCCACTATGAGAACCAATCGTAGATATTACATATCATTAACATTCCTATGTTGTGACGCCAACAACAACATTGCTCACCTGCAAAAAGTCACAATCAGGTCAGCCTATTTTATCTTCTGCATTCAAAACAAAGTTAAGGGAAAACATGAAGGTAATAGGAAAATTGGTGGGAAATATGAAGAAACTCACCAGCTTTCCACTTTCATCAACGGTCATGGGATTCTGAACGACGACTGTTTGATTCTGCGAATGGGCTGTTGCCTGTAGCAAATAGAGCAGATTGATCATTGAATGCAACAAAAAATTATCAGAACCAGAGTGAGTAAAAGTGTAGCAAAAACATGGAACTGACCGTGGAAGTAGATGGTGTTGAAGCAGATGGAGGGTTCCCACCAGGTCTATGCACAGGAGCCGGGACCCTTGTATCACTCATCTGCCAAAGTAGATACACATTAGAGAGACAGCATTAATATCTTGCAGAAGAAAGTAAGTTTGGAATCAATGATAATGTTAATTTGCAACATCAGCACCAGAAAGTACCACACATAAGAACCACAGTCCTCTCAATAGCTAGTTATCTGGTAATAGTTATTTTCTTCCTTCCTTCTTTTCTCTTATTTTCTTTTCCCTTTTTCTTTTTGTTTGTTTTGTTAGGGGTGTGAATTTTTACATGTGGATAACTAAGCATCAATCTTATAAAATCTACAGTATATAAAGCTGATATACTTGACCTAAATCACATGCACCGATAAATCCGAACCATAAAAAGAATTATTATTACATCATAAAATTTATCAAACATTATCATCTCTGAGAGCAACATTATAGTTTCCTAAGCATTATGCCTTCAAAGAAGGAAAGAAAAGACTGTGTGTTGGGTGGGATTATTTCTGCCAAAATTAGGAACCAAAATTAGGAGAGGGAAAAAAATAAATAAAAATAAATAAATAAGAGAGAGAGAGATTATTTCTGCCAAAATTAGGAACCAAAATTAGGAGGGGGAAAAGAATAAATAAATAAAAGACACACAGAGAGAGAGAGAGAGAGAGAGAGAGAGTGAGTGAGTGAATTAAAGCCCACCCAAATATTGCTCTAAGAAATTTCCTGTGTGTACATGATCAATGGTGATGCTATGAAACATTCAAGTAAATACCGTGTTATAAGCATTGACATTTGTAATGCAGTGACAAATTGCACATTTGACCGAAGGGGCTCCTGCTGGATACATCAGAGTGGTACGACAGTTACCACAGCTAACATGAGCGACAGGATTAGATGCTGCACATCCATCATTTAAAAATATAAAGTTATTAATGAGCAGAAGATAACGGAAACAAGAATCATAAATGAATTAAGAAGAATATAGTACAAAGCATATTTGTCCATTATGCATTAATGAGAAGCCAAAAACCAAATACAACTTCTACACACCTTCATGGCCATTCTGGAAGGGAAACAGAGATTATATAAATATTTCATGCATTTGAGCATTATTGTATACAAATACAATCAGATGTCTGTACCTGGCACAAGATTCACTGTGTGACAGCAGGAACATCTGACACTGGTGGCTCCCCATGCATGCATAAGTAAGGTGCGGCAGCCTCCACATATCAGCCGAGCCATTTCCATCCCTACATGTTGTAATGACACTTCAGTGATACAGACACCATCCAGAACATGTAAAATAGCCACATGCAATTGTCGGAAAATTGTGAATTTTGCTGAAGTTACAGTCAACCTCCAAGAAGACATAACTAGGGAACATCTAGCCGTACTTTGCTTTAAGACATTGAAGTATCACTAACTCGGGTTTCAGTAAGCAATTATTACACCTGTTTGCAGAAATTCATTTAATATATGCATCACAGCCCAGGTGCAAACCTGCCTCGACTCAAATGATTAATACTACGAGTCAAAATAAACTGCCTGCTGTGTGTTCTCAGCATAAGTACAAATCATTATTTCACCTCATCTTCAATAAGCCATGGAATTGTTATCCTTATTCCTTACAACATATTATGCTAAGCATGAAATTGCAGGTAACTTCTGTAAAATCAACGAAAAGAAAAGGGGGCATGGAATGACACCAATGTGTTTTTGCCAGACAGCACAATAGCTTACTTGCATAAGTACAATAGCAACTAAAAAAATTTATGTTCAAAATATAAATAGACAAAATGGCGATATCCATCGGCAAAGATAAAATACCAGGTCTGGAGACGGATTCTCTTCCTAATTGTTTAAACCTTATCTTCAATTCTGAGAGTGAGGTAATAAACCATTAAGTGATATAAACTCAAGTAAAGAACCTATACTGAATCTTAATCCATCAAACCCGTAGACAAGGTGAAGCTAGAAACCTGAAGATCTGAAATCATACGTATAACAAATTTCTCATTTTCTATGTCTCTGTCCTTTTCCCTGAATCCCATTTATTCATGTTACATACTCAAGGGAAATTTTTTATTTTTTTGGATGACCGTGGTGTCCGAGCCAGCTTACGCACACCTCGACTAATCTCACAGGGTCCTGAAATTTACAGCCAGATACTCACCTCAGTGGCCCTGAAGGGACTCGAACTGATAACCATTGGAGAGCAAACTCAAAGTCTGACCATTGAGCTACCCCACAGATTCTCAAGGGAAAAAAATTAAAATTTAACCTAGCAAAGAACTGAATATTTTTCGTTGCTTTTGGAAGTAGAATAGCCAACTGGAAAAAGATTGTTGAGTAATACCGGGTAGGGGGACAGAAGTAACTGCATTACACAATGAGCAGCAAATGTTCGCAGCTCCTCTGGGATAAAGAAGGGTAGTCCTACACCCACTGCAAACCAACTGACCCTGCATATCTGCAAAGTTCAAAGGAGGATCAGTAAATTACTAGCAAACACTAACTACGCGCATTCTGTTCGAGTTTAAATGTTTAATCGCTTCACATTTTTACAATCTATAATTTGAAACCAAGTACAAGAAACTAAATCAATCATCGGAAGAAAAACTTGACAAATTTTGTAAATATTCTGCAGGATTTCAAGTGAATTTAATCGACTCAATCCAAATAATTAAAAATCACACATAAAATCAATACTTCGGAATTTCGACCTAATAACACGAGAGACCAATTATTTGAAAAACTAGGGCACATTACCACATATACATATAATTCACAGGAAACAAGAATGCTAAACATCTAAATCCAACAAACACAATTATTCAGAATTGAACGGAATCTATATATCAAATTCACAAACAAATATTGCAATCGAACAACACCTAAAAACCCTAAAATTCTACCTACAAAAAAATAAATAAAAAAAATTCCCTTGCTTACCGCTCATCTGAAAACGCTGATGAATTGACAATTACGCAGAAAAGGCGAATTTGTTGTAGATAGTTGAAAAAGTTCGAAACCAAAATTGAGATTTTGTGGATATGTAACAAAAAAAAAAATAATAATAGAATTTGATTTGATTTGGAGATTGGATTGGATTTGGGATTATGATTCTTCCCCGCTGAAAATTAAAAGCGCGTGACTGACTTTCTCAAGATTGTGTTCCGTATTCAAACGGAGAAGATATTTTTGGAAACTTCTATTCCCTCTAGGTATATATCCCATCCCTTTCCACTTCGAGTTAATTACAATTGAGTCCTATGATTTTTGATATTTTCTATTTACCCTCCTTAGTCTTGGTTATTTGCCTAATAGCCCTCTTAATGTTTGAAAATAGTAATCATAGTAATCCACCATCCTTTTTAAATTTTTTTTTTTTTTTTTTAGATCTTAGTATTAGCCTATTCCTTAGTGAACCACTGTTAAATTTTACGAAACTCCATTTTCCTCCATCCCCTCCCATTTTCACATCCTCTCCATCATCCAAGAAAACTTCTCCTGAGCTATTTTCATGGATGCTGATGGCAACTAAGAGTTGGAATGGAGAGTTCCGAGCTGCCTGCGTTGTCATTGCTTCTCCTTGCATAGCTAATATATTTCCTTCCCGAACATGCACGTTGATGTGATCGGGAGGCGCATCAAGCTTGACGTACTTTCCATTTTGTGCGATCACGGAATGGGAATAGTTGAAGAGATCAAACCAGTTCCCTGCTGGAAAATATGCATCAACAGAAACTGCTCCAGAATGTAGTACAGGTGAAACCAATATCCCCTTACCGAGTAGAAACTGTGAGCTGATTTTGTAAGTGTTGGTATCCTGGGGAAACGAGAAGAAAATTGGACGGGCAATCGGGATGCCTTTAGTGTGTGCCTCAAACATTAATGTGTAGAAGTATGGTAATAGCCGGTAACGAAGTCCAAGCCCTTTCCTGGCTGATGCGGCTACTGAATCCCAGATATATAGCTCTTGACGGATGGTGAATTTCGCAGTGTGGTCTCTAGCAAAGGGATAAAAGGCTCCAAGCTACAATTGCAACATTTATATATCAGTCTTACTAAATATGCGGAAAAGGATCTTATGAAAAAAGAATGATATCCATAAGTGACAAGATTCTATCCAAGGACAAAACTATAGAAGTCGACAAAAAAATGACTTTCACCTGAATCCATCGTCGGCAAAGTTCTTCAGTTGTGTTTTCTGAAAAACCACATATATCAGCTCCAACCATTGGAATTCCAAATATTCCAAAGTTCAAGATGCTTGGTATTGTGTACGCCAAATCATCCCATGTGGCTGCATTGTCTCCAGTCCAGTGTGCCGTGTACTTGCCAGAACCCACGAAAGTAGATCTACTCAACACAAATGGCCTTTTACCAATGACATTAGTTAAAGCTGCATTAGTAGCCTTGGATTCCAAAAACCCATAGAGATTGTGTGCATTATACTCTGTGATGTTGCTGAAATGTAGTGATGTTGCAGGGACAGTTCTCTGGTTGATGGGATTTTGAATTCCAGCGTTGTTGATCTTGTAAGGAGGATCATCGAGGGTAGAAGATGGATTAGGAGGTGATGATATGAAATTTGATAACTCATTCATGTCAATCCAGAGTCCATCAAAAGGGAGTACTTCATGGAATATTTTGATTTCGTTACTCCAAAAGGCTCCGCATGATGGATTTACAAAGTCAGGGAAGTAGGTTTGTCCAGGCCAAACTTGACCAAGGTAAGGAACACCATTACGCTTTATGAAGATGTCAGCTTGCATCCCTCTTCTGTAGGTCTCATATGTCTCATTTACACTGATCCCTGTGGCATAAGGCACTACAGTCAATAAACAGATGGTTCGTATTTTGGTGTGCCATATTATGGATAGGAGTAGACACTTTAAATTGATAAAGTTTTATTTTTTTTGTTACTACGATCACCTTACCAAACAACACAATCGGGAATGCTTCAACCTAACCAATTTGTTATATTGTTTTATCTTTTATCATGATTGCCAATCGAAAAGCAGGAGGAAAAATCAATGAGTGATGGAGCTCACCAGGATCTATGATCATCACATATTTCTGACCATTCTGATGAAGGGCATCGACGAAAATTTTCATCTTATCCTGAGGAAAATTGACAGGATCAAGAGTGAAATCCTTATAGGCATCCATATAATCAATATCCGTCCACATAACTTCTAGAGGGATTTGAGCTTTCTTGTAACCAGCAACCACATTCTCAAGATCACTGACATTTTCATACCCATAGCGGCACTGGTGAAATCCTGTCACGATTATAGGAAAAAGTATGTTTTTAAAAAAATTCAATAAAGGCATTTCACACAGAAAAATTCCACAAGAAAAATTGAGGTTGTGAATCCTGAAATCCCAATCTGAAAACTAGTATAGCCAAATAAAGTAAATCCCAGTCCAGGAACTTAGTCTAATCTCTGATTCCTAAACCAGTACGAAAAATAATTGACAGACGTAAATAACAAGTCGATGTACTTCTTGATGTTGATCAATGCAGTACTTACCGAAAGACCAGTAAGGCATTGCGGCAGGGCGTCCAATGAGTTCAGTATACTGTGCCATAACCATTTCAGGCATAGGCCCTGCAAAGAAGTACAAATCAAGAACACCACCAATGACTTTATAAGTAATCCTATCCCCAGAGTACACAACGTCCATGCCATTGCTGTTTAGCAGCAAAACTCCATGAGTGGTTCCATGAGGGGATCTGACGTCCATGTAGAACGGGTGAGAACCATACAAATTGACATCAAGATTTGCGCTGGCAATGTCAGCATTCCACAGAGTCAGCGTCTGGTTGTGGTGCAGATTGAACGAGCTCTTCGTGTGTTCTCCGATGCCGTAAAGATTGGAAGTATGGGGTGGCAATGAGGAAGAGAGCTGTATATACTGATCCTTGAAGATGAGGTACGTGCTGGATTGGTGGCTCTCTGGAGTGGTGTCGAAGAGAGTTTCGCCGGAGGAGTGACGGGTGACCGTGAAGCCGAATGGGATGGTGTTGTGGAGAGTAAGTATGAGGTCGGAGTTGAGGCCGGAGAGTAGGTAGCGACGGTTTTGTGGTGGTGAACTGCGATTTTCTAGGTGGAGGGGGAAGTGGGACTGGCGGGGGATGATGTCGTGTGGGACTTCCCATCTTGGGTGATTGGCATCCGTTATTTTGATTCTTAAACGGTCTTTTGTATCCAAGCTGTAGACAAATAATTAAATTTTAGTTTGTTGGACTAGAAAATAATTATGAAATTTGGAAAACAAATTTTTAATTGCAAAAAATATTAATAGGTAGAACAATAAAATCAATAATGTTAAGTGTATCAAACCGAATTACATAATATAAAGGATGTTAAGTTGGTAATTCGACCAAGAACTTGACGAACTAATCATGATGTTTCTAGTCAACATTTAAAATCAAAGTTTTTTTTAATCCTGCGTTGACCCCCAGACTTGCACTAATTATGCTTATTTCCGTCCTTTGTGGTCCTTGCTACGAAAATAACCTTATCTTTTCCGTTGAATTGAGCAGAAACTAAAATCTGATTAATCCAGAGAACAAGAGGAAAATTTTAAATCCGATTACTTAGGTTTATTTTTATAGAAAAATGAAGAAGATTTACCTTGCAGTCAGGCAGAGAAGTTGAATGTCGAATCCAAAAACAGAGGAATTTCTGATGAGCTGAAGATAAGCAGTGAGCGTTTTTCCTGATGAATCAACGGTCGATGATCGAATAAAGTAACCATATCCAACTGATGCTGCTTCGTTTAATGCATTTGATTTTGTCAGAATCAGGAAACTGATAAATAACGTGTAGATTACAAGAAGAGGCTGAAGATGTTTTGGTTTATTGGTCATTGGTTTGGAATGAAATGAAATGGGAGAAAAAGGAGTACTGGTTTAATATCCACTACGACCATAAGTGGGCTCTATATATACTTGCATTCGCTGAATAGGGGCCAACCAAGAAAATTTTAATGGTTGACTTTTGTAGTCGTGACGGTGGGATTATGTCTTAGTCCCCGTTTGATAGTAAATTTTCACCTCAAAAAATTAATTTTTTAATCGTTATTTCACTATTTCAGCTATCATTTTTTATTTCTTTATTCACAAGCGAAATCTACTTTTCTTTCTAATGGTCAAACAATCAATTCTTATAATCACTACGGAACATACCCTTAATATACTTTCTCTCACGTGAAGATTGTATGTTTGACAAGTGAAACATACATAATTTTCATAAATGGTCGCGATGGAAAAACTTGATATTACATATTTTCATAGCTTTGATGCTAAATCATTTCATTTAAAACTTTAGAAACTACAAAGAGCATTTATTTAAATATTGTTATCATCACTTTGTGTCCTTCATATGTATGGTGCTTTGGCACTTTGCAGATGGCCTTTGTCACGTTCCAAGTGTTGGAAAAAAATTGAGTGAGCGGCTCACTTTTGACACAATTTTCGATGGGACCCGTTGGTCCAATATGGAATACCAAAGTTGATATGTGTTCTTCTCTGCGAGAACATCGATTTCATGTATTTATTTGCCAAAAATGAAGTTCGGGTGAATGAGAAATTGGATCTCAAAGTTGGTCATTGGAATTTGATTTTATGGGAAAAAATGCATTTATCCCACATAGGAAAACCAAGGAAACTTAAACCACTTTATATATGGCTATGATTTGGAGATGTGTAATCATGTGTAGTATAGAGGTTCTCTCCACGTGTAGGCGCAGGGAGGGTGCAAATCACGAACCGAAATAGCCTTCGGACCTTGAACTTGGGCGCGATCTGCGCACACGAATGTCGGATCGAACAAGGCAAAAATGGCCCTATCGGAGAACCCACGTTTTGCCAATTTTTTTTTTTTTTTGGCTTTCTCCAATGACTTTTGAGTTTCTAAACTGCAGAAACTCCCAATGTTTATTGCTAGAACTGAAAAGCTGAACTCTAGTGGTTAATGTCGTAACTCCAGTGACTCCAATGGATAGGACTCGGTCAATATAAGGAACGCTCACTCCAACAGTTTAACACACGAACGAAAATCTCTCTCTGCATACGAAAATATTCTTCCCAATTTTCCACGCAGTGTCTTTTTTTCCAGTTCCAGTTTCCATACAGTGTAGTCTTTGTTCCCTTCCAGTCACGTGCAGTTCACCGGAGTAGGACCGCGGTGCTCAAATTCTGCTTATTACCGTTGTATCCTAGGAGACAGCCTCTCGAATTGAATCTTCAGCACCTACGGTGAGAGGGCGAAACTGTCTTAAGAAAACTATGCACGCACAGGCCTCGATTTGAAATCTGCTACAATTTGTGTTTTCTTTCTGCAGATTTATTTCGTTGCAGTTCGTGTAGTTTCTTTGCAGATTCAGTTTATCCTTACAGTTTCAGTTTCCATTTATTTCTACAGATTATTTTTTGCATCAGTCTCCATTTATTTCTGCAAATTATTTTCGCATTACTATTTAATTCATGCAGTTTGTAGTTCCATAATGTGCAGCTTCCAGATTCATCATTTATATTTTTAGCCTGCAGTTAACTTATATTTCTGATTTTATGTTGCTAAATATTTTTTTCCAGCCATTGGAAAATTCTGAAACGGAATTTTTTTTTAATAAATTGAAATCGTTTGCCTTGTGGTTATTAAATTCAATAGTCGACTATTGCATTTGAATAAAACTTATACAATTGGTTTCATCCACTAGCGACTTGTTTTCTTACAAGCTTAAGACATTTACAAGCTTAAGACATTTTATTTGAATTCGGAAAACAAGAGTTGGTTTTTGGTTTAAATGAATTTTAGTTATTTGGAACTAATGTTTGGTTTTCAAAAACAAGAGTCGATTTTTTTGGTTTCATTGAATTGTAGTTTTTTGGAACTAATATTTGGTTTGTTTTCAGAAATGGCAACCAAATCGAACAACATGGATGTGACCCAAAATATTCCCGCTGGAAATCAGGCTGTGGGTTATAATGTGGCTCAAGGGCCAAACTCTGTGGTGGCTTAGACTGTGGCTAGAATGCCAAGTCATATTGTGAGCCAAACTTTAACTATTTCGGTTAATCATTGAGAAAAATCGGAGAAATTCAATGGCTTGAATTTCAAAAGGTGGCAGCAAAAAATGCTTTTTTACTTGAACACCTTGAATCTTGCGAGATTCTTGACTGAAACTGCTCCAAAACTTAATGAGGGCGAGGGAGATGTGCAAGCATTGAGTGCACTTGATGCTTGGAAACATTCGGACTTTCTGTGTCGAAATTATATCATGAACAACCTAGCAAATGCGCTATACAATGTGTATAGCACCATGAAAACTGCTATGGAATTGTGAAGTCCTTGGACCGAAAATACAAAATTGAGAATGTCGGGGCTAAAAAGTTTATAGTCGGCAAATTCCTAGACTATAAGATGGTGGACTACAAAACTGTTATCAGTCAAGTGCAAGAACTCCAAGTGATCCTTCACGAAATTCATGCCAAAGGAATGATGTTGAGTGAAGCTTTTCAGGTGGCTGCAATTATAGAAAAATTGCCCCCGGCGTGGAAAGACTTCAAGAACTATTTGAAACACAAATGAAAGGAAATGAACGTCGAAGAACTCATTGTTAGACTTCGAATCGAAGAAGACAACAAGAGTTCGGAGAAGAAGTGGTTCAATCCTGGTGTGGCCAAAGTCAATGTTGTGGAGCTTTGTCAAAGTAGTAAGAACTACAAAAATAAGTCTGGGTCATCCGGTGGCAAAAGAACCAAGCAAGGACCAAAAGATGGAATTGTCAAGAAGAAATTCCAAGGGAAATGCTTCAATTGTGACAAAGTGGGTCACAAGTTTTCGGAGTGCAGATTACCGAAGAAAGAAGTGAATGTGGTTGACTACATGACACAAGATGTGTTGGAGCTGAATCTCACAGCAGTCATTTCTGAAGTAAACATGGTGGGTTCAAACCCTAAAGAATGGTGAATTGACACCGGTGCTACAAGGCATGTGTGCTCTGATAAAAAGATGTTTGATACATTCGAAGCTATTGAGAACGGGGAGAAGTTGTTCATGGGAAATTCAGTAACTTCTGAAATCAAGGTTCAAGGAAAAACGGTTCTGAAGATGACCTCGGGAAAGGAGCTGACTCTCAACAACGTGCTTTATGTGCCGGAAATTCGCAAGAATTTAGTGTCCGGGTCGCTGTTGAATAAGCATGGTTTCCGCATTATTTTTGAGTCAGACAAAGTCATTCTGTCGAAAAGTGGAATGTTTGTCGGAAAATGTTATGTTTCCGACGGTATGTTTAAACTCAATGTAATGGTTGTGAAACCAAAAATGAATAAAGCAAGTTCTTCTGCTTATTTGCTTGAGTCTTCCAATTTGTGGCATGGTAGATTATGACACGTTAACTATGATACTTTACGAAGACTAGTTAACTCTAACTGCTACCTAAGTTCAATAACGATTCCAAACATAAGTGTGAAACTTGTATTGAAACAAAATTGACAAGGTCATCGTTTAAATCAATTGAACGGAACACAGAACCACTAGATTTAGTTCACAGTGACGTGTGTGATCTAAAACTTATACAAACAAGAGGTGACAACAAGTATTTTATTACTTTTGTCGACAATAGCACAAAATACTGCTATGTATATCTGCTTAAAAGTAAGGATGAAGTTATGGAGAAATTTATTCTCTATAAGAATGAAGTTGAGAATCAACTTAATAAGAAAATTAAGGTGCTGCGAAGTGATCGAGGTGATGAGTATGAAGCACCATTTGCTAAATTCTGTGCACAACACGGAATCATACATGAAACCATCGCCCCTTACTCACCGCAACAAAATGGTGTGGTTGAACGGAAAAATCGTACCTTAAAAGAGATGATGAATGCAATGCTCGTAAGTTCTGGGTTACCTCAGAACATGTGGGGGGAAGCTGTGTTATTAGCAAATTACCTTTTAAATAAAGTGCCGCGAAAGAAATCGGAAAAGACCCCTTATGAATTATGGAAAGGAAGAATGTCTACCTATAAACACTTGCAAGTGTGGGGGTGTCTTGCTAAAGTTGCTGTTTTACCACCAAAGAAGGTAAGGATAGGCTCGAAAACTATAGACTGTGTCTTCATTGGCTATGCACATAATAGCAGTGCGTATCGCTTTCTTGTGTATGATTCAAAAATTCCAGATATACACAAAAATACGATAATGGAATCAAGGAATACTACATTCTTTGAAGAAATATTTCATACAGATTCAAAGAAGAAGCAAGCTCCTCTAAACGAACATATGAGACAATGACTAAAAATAGTCAGAACAAAGAATTAGAAGAAGAGATTGAGGTTAGACGCAGCAAACGGGAAAGGACAGAAAAATCTTATGGTCCTGATTTTCTGACCTATATGCTAGAAAGTGAACCTCAAAATTATCAAGAAGCAGTAAATTCCTCGTAAGGATCTCAATGGAAAGAAGCCATTGAAAGTTAAATAGATTCCATACTGCAAAATCATACATGGGAACTAGTGGATCTTCTTCCAGAAAGCAAACCACTAGGCTACAAATGGATTTTCAAAAGGAAAATGGAAGCAGATGGAACTATCGAGAAGTATAAGGCTAGATTAGCAATTAAAGGCTACAAACAAAGGGAAGACCTTGATTACTTTGATACGTATTCTCCAATGACAAGAATAACATCTGTTCGGATGATACTTGCTATTGCCGCTTTGCGAAATCTTGAAGTACATCAAATTGATATTAAAACTGCCTTTCTAAATGGAGATTTAGAAGAAAAAATTTACATGGAACAACCTGAGAGATTTTTGTCACCAGGACAAGAAAAGAAAGTTTGTAAACTGGTGAAGTCACTATATGACTTGAAACAAGCACCAAAACAATGGCATGAAAATTTTGACAATGTCATG